CTCTCTGTGTGTCTCTCATGAATAAATAAAACCTCAAAAAAAAAAAAAAGAGTTGTGTGCTCTATGGAGCAGCCAGGTACTCCTCTTCTTCCATTTTTAGTTAAATTTCTCTCTACCAATTCAGGCACACTTCCTGTGGGAGTCTTTATATTCATTTCCCCTCCTCTGCTGTCTTCATCATTGTCCAGTATGGTTTCCATTTCTGTTACTTCATACAGGTGGCTCTTTCTTTGATCATCCCTAATCTGAATGGCACATATAAGGGGTATTTTCCCCAGCTTTATTGGGACATAATTATCATATAACACTGTGTAAGTTTAAGGCAGTGTGTTAATTTGATATATGATGCCAGATGATTTCCACCATAGCCTTCGCTAACACCTCCATTATGTCATGTAATACCGTTTCATTTTGAGAGGAAAACATTTAAGACTTACTCTCCTGGGAACTTTCAAGTATATGATACAACATTGCTAAGTACAATCACCATGCCGTAAATTAGATCTCTTATCCATGTAATAACTGGAAGTTTGAACTCTTTGGTGTGATATCATTGACATTGTGGGGTCTAAAAAAGCCAAACTCCTAGAAACAGAGACTAGAATGGTGGTTACCAGGGTTTGGGAAGTTGGGGAGATATTGGTCAAAGAGTACAAGCTTCCAGTTATAAGATGTATAAGAGGATATTTTTAATCTCCATTTTACTTAATGTTTTACCGGGATTTGGTCCTGACATCTCTTGCACTTCCGACTTTTTTCATTGGATTTTGTGACACCGTATACTTTCATTTCCCTTTAATATCTCTACACACTTTTTTTTTCTTCAATACCCTCGTCCTTTTGCAGGCTTGTCATTCTCAATCCTATCATGGCAGAAAATATGGCAAAAGGAGAGAAGGCGGCCTACAATGTATCCTTGAGAAACTGCAGTTTTAAAGTTCACATGAGAGAGAGAAGTCAGTTATACTTAATGATGCTGACATACTTTTGTTTATAAAAATACAATATATCCACTTTTAAAAAATATTTTATTTTTAAATCATCTTTACACCCAACATGGGGCTTGAACTCACAACCCAGGATCAAAAGTCATATGCCCTACCAACTGAGCCAGCCAGGGGCCCCCTTTCATCCCACCCCCCAAATTGGGGCAGAGGATGCAGTTTTTTGACAAGAAAGAGAAGACGTTTCACTTTAGTACCTATGTTCTTTATAGATGCTTTCTTCCATGGTGGTGCTCCGTAACATAGCGTGCTTACTGGGTGCCAGGGCTGTGCTGATGTTTCCTGAGCATATCTCATTTAATCCTCCCTGAAGCTCTCCCTGAGTGGACACTAACAAGTTTCTTTTCCTTAGAAAAGGAAACCGGCTTAGATTTTCTATAAGTCACAAAAGTAACTTGATATACAGAGTTGCAAAAGTACGACTTTACATACATTTTTCCATAAGTTAAAGTTACCCTTAAAAATAGTTGGGGATCCCTGGCTGGCTCAGTGTTTTAGCGCTGCCTTCAGCTTGGGACATGGCCCTGGAGCCCTGGATCAAATCAAATCTCACGACAGGCTCCCTGCATGGAGCCCGCTTCCCCCTCTGCCTGTGTCTCTGCCTCTCTCTGTCTCTCATGAATAAATAAATAAAATCTTTAAAAAAAATCATTGTGTACATATGATACAACCTTCACAACAAACATGTGAAGTAGGCAAGGCCAGTATTTCCCAGATGAGGCTATAGGAAAATGCAGCTGAATCAGTTACTGTGGTTGCAGGTGATAGCAGCAGTTAGATCCCAGGCTGGAGCAATTAGATCCCAGGCCACAGGAGTTAGATCCCAGGCCACAGCAGTTATGTCCCAGGCTGCAGCAGTTAGATCCCAGGCTTCCTGACCATGAGTCCTGCTTTCCCTCATTACACAAGGTACATTCTCTGCAGTAATTATGAAAGGATGAGATCCTTGTTTTTTATGGGTTGCCTTTCCCCCCCTGTATTTCATTCAACCATACTTCACTTGTTTAGCTAATAATCCAAGAATGTTGCTAGAGTAGCAAAAAGTTGATTGGACTCATTATCTTGGGTATTTCAGGTAACGGAGCGGAGGGCACCCAGCCTGCGGAGCAGGGCCCGTCCACCCTGTCCCCAGGCTGGCCTCCCAGGGGGTGGGAGGTGACATCTGGCCTGGCCTCCGTTGCTCTGTCCTTGTGGGAAGCCCTGGCTGACTACCTGACACCAGGCATTAGATCTGACCTGAGCTTCTGCTCAAGCAAACTTGGCGTAATTAAGCTGTTGAGAGTCGCTTCCCCTGACAGGGCCGAGGAGCCTTACGAGGCGAGGGCTCTGCTGAGGTGATAAAGCTGATTAGATCCTTAGTCGCGAAGGAATCTGATCTTAGAAATTTCCTCCGGCTCCTGTTAATGAGGCAAAGACAACATTTAGCAGAGAACACGGGGTCAATGAAAAGAGAAACATTTCTTTTTTTTTTTCCTTTAATAAAGAACAGATTCTTTTGCTCCCCTTTTAAATCCAGGGCTGCATTTACTGTCCAGAATAAGAGCACAATTGAGATGAACAAATAAGAAGTGTTTTCTCAGGGGGCGCAGTAGACCTGTATAAGCTTATCCCAATGTGAAACACAAGAAGCAAAATAACTGGAGAAAGGGAAACTAAGATAAACCTAAGAGACGAAAATAATTGAATTAGTGTTGGCTACAGCGGAAGTGGAATAACCAACAGTGATTAATTACAACGATATATGGTCTGTTCACAAAAATGTAGGTTTTTTTCCTTCAAAAATGGTTTTCTCACTTTTTCTTTCTGTACCTTCCCTTTTCTTGAACTATCATTCAAGCAAATAAAACGTGTTTTCCTGGGATACTCTTGCACGAGTCTCTCATACTAACAATGCTGATGAGCTTACCTTTTGGGTTATATATAGCATTTTTACATCTGCTACCATTTAATCCTCATAAAACTTTATAATGAAAGCTGCATTATACCCATGTTAAGGATTTGGGACTTGGCTCTACAAGGTTATAGGATTTGCTTAAGCATTTGTAAGCAGGAGAGGTGGGAGTCAAGTCCGAGTTTTCTTACCTCCAGGAGAGGGGCCTCCTCCACAGCCACTCCAAGTCATACTTTATTTAACGTCTCTGATTCTCGCCTCTATTTCTTGCTAAGCCTCTGTTCCAGTATTTGTTTTCCTATCAGATGCACTTATACAGGATGTAAATCGTGTGATGCACACACATGCACACACATCTCTGTGCTCATAGATTGGCCGTCCTTTCCACTGGGGTGTCTTTCTCTTCCCACAAAGACCCTGTCCTACTTCTCAGCTTCAGCTTGTTCCAGGGAGATCAGTGGTCATAAAGGACAGAGTAGGAGAGAAGTAGCCCTGGAGATGGTCTGTGACAGGATGGGGGACCGGGAGGTGGACCGGCACCCAGTCTACTGCGCCCCCTTGTCGTTGCCTTCGGGGCGGCTGGAGGAGGACCACCTGGACATGGGAAGGGGTGATGCTGGGGACACTGCTACCGGGTTTCTCCTCTTTATCTTCCTGCAACATCTTACACACCCGTCGTGTTAACTTTTAACTCTGTGACTGATTCACTTCCATGAAGATGATATGGCTTTATGGTGGGCCTGTCTCTTATTTTTGAGATCGGTTTGTCCACTCGTGCCCCAGTAGGTCTCCCCCGGGCGTACCATAGGCAAATCAGGTTTGAAAGGTACGTAGTCTTCTCCCTCAGATTTGTACCTTTTTCTTTTTCACTAGTCCCGGCTCGGGATCCCCATAGCACAGCCACCCAGTGGTGCAGGCCTGGAGCCAGAATGGCCCTGTGTTTCACCACATCTAAAAAGTCAATAAATTTTAATTTGTCTATTTTGTTAGCGTTCTTTTTATCTTCCCTTTTTCTTCGTACCTCTCTATTTTCACTACGACTAGCTTTTCACCTGTTTCCAGTCTGGATTTCTTTTAGTCCACCCTCTACCTTATTGGCATGTGTATTTCTTTCTTTTTTTTAATTTATTTCTTTTTATTTTTTATTTTATTATTTTTTTGGCATGTGTGTTTCTAATAGATCACTTTGAATATACTATATCCCTAATTCAGACATCCATTTCCATCACATTTCCTAAAATGTCATGCAGAAAACTCCCAAAATAATCTGTGTATCTCCATGAATAAAGGAGCCCATAGTCAAATAGAATATTGAAATGTGCACACTAAATATGGTTTCTCTTGGAAAGTCACACTACACAGTATTTTAAAAAAAGGCTATATGAAGTCTTTCTATTGATTGTATAACAAAACTCTATAACATGAGCTGATACTTGAACATAGAAAGTTTTTTTTTAATATTTATTAATGTGTAATTATTGGCAGGCTGTCCTCCTGATTTTGGTCCCGTGGTATTCAAGGTCCTCTCATGCCTAGCCCTGAAATCTTACCTTCCTTTTTGAACCTTTGTAGCCATACCCACATTTGGTTCCCCAAACACACAGCTCTGTTCTATTCCATTGTGTTGTTCCTTTTGCCGGGAATACTGCTAATCTCGCCGATGGCCTTTGTGAAAATTTAGCTATTTTTAAAAGTTTAGATCATTTGGTATTTTCACTAGTTAGCCCACTGCTTGGTACATTGTCAGTGCGTAATGTATTTTAAATAATGAAAACAGAGAAAATCAACAAGAGAAAATTTAGAGATAGGCGATTAGCTGTATTTGCCTCTTCATTCTGCTTAGTTGGTGCCTGTTCGGGAACTCTAACACACAGTAGCAGTTGCTGAAATGATTTTTCAGCTGCTTGACCTCAGCAATTTTTATTTGTTTGTTTACCTAGACAAAACTTAAGAAATTACAGTAAAGGCTAAATTTTTAATTCTTGAAAGTAAAAATCAAATTTAATTTTCATAAAATTAAATAAGTGTGCGATAGCTGTTCTCTGTGACCTGCAAAAACTCCTTAAAAATGACTGTTGTAAATGTTTTCTATTTCTTCCTGACAGGTAATATTTGAAGCTGAAGTCTCAGGAGGGAGGAGTGGTTATATTGCCATTGATGACATCCAAGTGCTGAGTTATCCTTGTGGTAGGTTGTCATTAAGAATTGTATTTTTCTGTGTCCTTTCAACACTTGTACATTGGCAAGGACTGTTGACTGTTTATCACTTGGTTGTGGCTGTCTCTTTTGTTGTTACTCCTAGCCTTCCGTTCAGTTTTAAAAGAACACTGAAATCCTTCTAGAAGTTTTGAGTCAAATATTTCTCAGGATTGTACCTAGTGGTACACCAGTAAGGAGTTCTTTTAATTCTTTAACTACGGAGGACAAAATGTGAATATAATGAAATTCTGGATAGGACATGCTCCGTCTTTTGGTTTTATTAAATAGTCTAGCAAAGCAAAAAAGAATAACAAATCAGAGCTCCACTGAAAGGAAACCTATAGAAACCTCACTAACTTATGTGATCTGCTTAGTTGAAAGTTGGCGTGAAGGAAAGAGAATGAATTAGTTCACCGTATTCCAAACTTCAGACTAAATTTTTTTTAATAACATCTGGTTAATCCATGTGAAACAACAAAATAATAGAAATCAGACAAAACAAGGACTCCGTTTATTAACACATAATTTTATTATGTCTTTAGATGCACATTGGTTGGTCTTCAGATGGTGTAACTAATTTTGTGTGTACATCGCATTTCCTGAAAGACATTCATTACATGCACTCAGTAGAGCCAGAGGCAAAACAGCTGGCATGAATTCAGACTTTACCTAGATCTCCCAACAGCGGCATTTTACAGGGCCCATGAACTCTAGATGGTCTGTTCAGTAATCCTCCTGGTGGAAATTTTCTCACCCGTTGTAAGCACCGTGCGCGTGGAGGGGAGCACTGTGCGGGGGGGCAAGGCCACGCTCCTGGTGAGTGCTGGTGTTAAACCCGGCGGTGCATCAGCGTCACCTACCAGGGGTGGCAGATCACAGATTGTGTGGCCCCTCCTCAGTTCTTATTCCGTAGGCCTGGGGTGGGGCCTGTAAATGTGCATTTCTCATAATAAGTTCCCAGGTGATGCCCCTGCTGCTGGCCGGGAGCTCACAGAGGGAGGACCACTGTGCTAGTTCATGTTCTAGCTCAAGCATCTCTCTTTTTAAAGCTGATGCTAAGATGAGGTGCGAAGAAAGAGGTCACAGGTAGTGGTCAGACCATTTATCCCAGGCAGTCCATTCTAAGAAAAAGGGGAACAAAACCATCTCCCTCAAAGTTCACGTTGGTTTGCTAATAAGTTCTTTCAGTCCACCAGTACATGAGCATGATGTTTCCATCTACTGTTCATTTACACTTAGTGGAAGAGAAATGTGAAAGAAAGGCTCTCAGGAGTAAAGAAAATAAAAATACGAATTAAGCCCAAGAGCGGTTTCACTGTGATCCGGCCCTCTATGCGCTTGCTTTTACTTACCAAGGCTTAACTTTTCCTGCATGTATTTACTTTTAGTTGAAAACATGAATAAAACAGTGTATGTTCTCATTCATTTGGGGAATATGAATAATAGTGAAAGGGAATATCAGGGAAGGGAGAAGTGTGTGGGAAATATCAGAAAGGGAGACAGAACATAAAGACTTCTAACTCTGAGAAACGAACTACGGGTGGTGGAAGGGGAGGAGGGCGGGGGGTGGGGGTGATGGGTGACGGGCACTGAGGGGGACACTTGATGGGATGAGCACTGGGTGTTATTCTGTATGTTGGTAAATTGAACAATTAATTTATAAAATTAATTAATTTATTAAAAAATTAATAAATTTTAATTTATTAAAAATTAATTTATTAAGAAAAAGAAAACATGAATAAGCTCCAGTTTTACAAGGTGATCATAGAGAACACTGATATGACAGTTACGTAAGTCGTGTAGGTTTTGACCGCAGTCATCACTTTTCGTCGGGTCCAATATTGCTTTTGGGTAACTTTTCTTCCAACGATGAAGGAGTCCGAGGTGGATTTTGCAGCGATTAAACTGATACTCTCCTTGAGAGAAACAAATACATTCCCTTGTTCTTTGAAGCACTAAAGAATTATACCTATTGAAATGTTTTTTTTTTTTGTAAAGAAAGACCAAAAATAAATAAATAAAAAAGAAAAAAAGTAGAAAAGAAAGACCTGTTTACATCGTAAATTAATAGTTCAACGGCTATGTCTATGTTAGTAGGTTAGATACCACTATATGTTTTTGTCACATTTCTCTGTCGTGCTCTGATTTCTGCTTATTTGGTCTCTCTTTTATTATTATTATTATTATTATTATTATTATTATTATTATTTGGTCTCTTTTGCTTTCTTTGACTTGTAACTGTTTTGTTATCACCCATATGCAACATGCTGTGGCCAAACTTCAGCAGTAATTGTTGAGTGCCCTCTCTGTATACAAGAATGTTCTAGCAATTATGGGGCAATGAGTACTAGTGCTATTGAGGGGAAAAAAAAAAGAACTGTGAGAGGGAGTGGGGTTTTCAGCACAAAGAAAACTCCCATTTTCTTCCACATGGCACGTTTTCTTCATGTGAAAAGATTAATTTTTTTTTCTGCCTTCACAGATAAATCTCCTCATTTTCTCCGTCTGGGGGACGTGGAGGTCAACGCAGGACAGAATGCTACGTTCCAGTGTATCGCCACGGGGAGAGATGCTGTGCACAACAAATTGTGGCTGCAGGTAAGGCCAAGTGGGCCGCTGGGCGAACAGATACACCTGATTTTTAAAAAATCACAAGGTACCGCTTCTGCTGTTATTCTAGTATGTGTGTGTGTGAGGGAGCGAGAGACCAGTTCTCTTGTGTAGGTTTGTCTTCATTGACTGCAGCTTCGTTTCAGGTATTTCCATTTTGGGAATATGAATAAACACATGACAGTATATAGTTAATAAATACTCAGGTCAGTTTCTAGTGAGCGCTGATGTTTCTCTAAGGTTATGCAAAACTAAGAATTTTTTTCGAGATCCATTCAAAGTAGGAAAAAATGGCAAATTTCCTCGTTAAATATTTTGAAAACCCAAACTTACAAGAGCACGGTACTTAAGTAGGAACTGTCATACCCTGGCCAATTTTTTTAAACACATTTTAACAAAGTTTTGGAAGTACTTCTGGAAATGTGAATGGGAGGAGAGCCAATTAAATTTCTTTTCAGAGTGTTTGTGCATAAGGGTTAATGACAGTTCTGAGGTCAAGACATTTGCTTTGCATATATTAAATCCTCAGTAAATACGTATTTAATGAATGACATTGGCAAAATATTGAGGAAATGCAAACAGTACATACCAAGACCTTTGAGAATGCCAGAGAATTAAACAAGAAACTAAAGAAGGTACCGTGTCTTTAGAAAATATCTCCCAATCCTGGGACAGTGGGGGGGGAGGGGCTTAGAGCAGCTCTAAAGTCAGGAGGGCGGGCCCAAGGAAGGTGATGGCTGTTGAGCAAAATATTTGAAGCTAGAACCTAAGTAATAATGCTCTCTGACCACTTGTATTATTATTTTGTGTTCTATTTGCATCAGAATGAAGGAAGGGATTTAATTAGTTAGAATTTTAAATTCCTGAAAATGTCAATGGAGACCAAAAGAGAAAAATCACAGCAAGATTAGCATAGTTTTTGAACATAGACCTCAGCATTTATTTTACCATATTTTAATTTTTTAAATTTTTTAAAAGATTTGTTTATTTATTTATTCATGATAGACATAGAGAGAGAGGCAGAGACACAGGCAGAGGGAGAAGCAGGCTCCATGCCAGGAGCCCGATGCGGGACTTGATCTGGGGCCTCCAGGATCGCGCCCTGGGCCAAAGGCAGGCGCTAAACCACTGAGCCACCCAGGGATCCCCTATTTTTACCATATTTTTAAAGAGGTAAAATTAGTGTTGGGGACAATCATTAGGTTGTGGGAGGTTGGGGTCATGATTAGAATAAGTGATTTTTGAAATCATGCCTAGTATAATGCCTAATATTGTCCTAGATGTTATCAATTTCTTATTTCATTAAATTCTCACATCCACATGGATGTTACAACACATGTACTCATAGAAACTTAATTATCACTGCTTCTATAATTTATTTGATTTGTAAGTATTGGGATATCATTCTGAATATGTGAAAAGGAAATGAAGCCCCTACTTTTTTTTTCTGTGATTATGCGAATTTCCCCTATAGATATTAAAATATAAGATAATTCTTTCTAGAGAGGGTGCTGTATAATAAGCAGCCTGTTTTATCAGTAAACATCAAGTTGGAATCAGTCTTTTTCCTCTCAGTCTAAATAAACAATTGATTTTTAGACTTTTTTTAATTAAAATTGTTTTTCCCATTTAGGTGAGAACATTAGTTGGCATTTGACTTTAGTTGTGATCTGTACAGTCTTGTCTTGGAGAACCAGAGACTCTGCAGTCTGCCTCTGGTTCTATGCCCCAGGATTTAATGTGACATTGAAATAAAAGGGTTTTGTGGACTCAGACACCAGCTGCCTTGTGGCAACAAAGACTTTCTGGCCCTGCTGGTCTGAGTGGGTTGCAGTCAAAATACTGCTCGTTTATTGTTTGTTTCCTATTTTGTAGATTGGCCCATTTCATTATAGTTTTAAAAAATAATTCCTTCTGCCATTTGCCATTTTTTAAAGAAAGATGAGAGATAAAAATATTCTGTTAAACATCTATTCTGCTTTCCTTTTTGTCCTCTTTTCTCTACACATCCCAGGGTGGATCTGTGTATTTCTCTTCTGTTTTGACAGTGAGGCTACCCAATTCCTTAGCAGTTTACCTATTTACCATATTCTTTGAAAAAGCTTTTCTACTTTTTCAGTAATACCACCTAAGTTACCTTAAGTTATTCTTTTAAATCATCCTTCTTCGTGCTTAAGAAATATTGAAAACTATCCATTATTTAGTTGAGGGATGTTTTCGAATGAATAAGACTGGTTATTTTATATAAATATATATTGAATCAGACTGTGCCCAGTGATTTTTAAAAAATCCATCTTTAAAAGTAGTAGAAGTATAATAGAGCAGAACGAATCTTGATTCCATAGGAATCTACAAACCAACCCATAAATATGGATGTCACGTCCTGTTTACTTGGTGCAGAATGACTTCGAAAAATCAGGAGGCCCAACTGTTAATTCTTTTTTTTTAATTTATTTTTTTCCAACTGTTAATTCTAACCATAATTTGAACCCTATAACCCTTCCAACCTAGTTAAGTGTGTGGGCTTAGAGAATTCATGAACTATTGACTATATTCTATAGAGAAGTTCTTTATCTAGAAAAGGAGATGGGGCTAGAAGCTAAGATCCCTTCCAGCTGTAGATGCTAAGCTAGGTCTTTGCATTATTTTTGATGGCTGAGACATGGCTTTCATTACCTTTTTTGTTTGACAGAAGAATGTGAATATTACTGGTCTTGTATGGGTAAAAATGGTCCCTTAAATTAACTATCATTATGAGAACAACTGCTTAAACTATCTGCTCACAGTACTGAGAATGTATTGGAAGCAACTCAAAATGATAGGTCACTGCATCCTGTCCCAGAAGTAGTGGGATAATGGAGTAGCTGTTATCCTTGCCATGGTAGGTGTCATTAAGAAATGGTAATTGAGGAGATCCCTGGGTGGCTCAGTGGTTTAGCACCTGCCTTTGGCCCAGGGCGTGATCCTGGGGTCCTGGGATCGAGTCCCACGTCGGGCTCCCTGCATGGAGCCTGCTTCTCCCTCTGCCTGTGTCTCTGCCTCTCTCTCTCTTTCTGTGTGTCTCTCATGAATAAATAAATAAAATCTTAAAAAAAAAAGAAATGGTGATTAACTTTTTATGTTTTCTAAATTACTAACATTATACAGTATTAAGTGTCAATTGATAAATGTTTAAATACGGGGTACAAAACCAAAAAAAATAGAACAGCCAACTTTATGTTTTAAAGGAAAAAAATGATATAGTTCAACCGCTTTAACCTTAATACCTGATAGCATCTGACATTTAAAATTATGTATGGAGGGATATCTGGGTGGCTCAGTTGGTTAGGTGTCCGACTCGGTATTGCCTCAGGGTACCTACCATCTCAGGGCCCTGAGGTAGAGCCTGTGTCTGGCTCCGCGCTGAGCAGGGAGCCTGCTTGAGGATTCTCTCCCTCTGCTCCTCCCCTGATCTCTCTCTCTCTCTAAAACAAACAAATTAATTAATTTAATTAATTAGTGTATAGGAATACATTTAAAAACTAAATTTTTCCACTTGTTTATTGTGTCTAGCTTACAATTGATAATGCCCATCTTTTTTATTGTTTAAAATGACATACGAATTCTTAGGTAAATTAAACAACAGAGCTCACAAAAGCTAACGTTTGAGTTACCTGAGCTAATCTAGAATAATTCATAAGGTACACATCATAGGGGGGGTCTGGATGTATCTTTAAGGAGAGTTCTTTCCTGTAGATCTCAGATTATGTGATTACTGAGTCTCAGAATTAGGTCATTGGCTCTAGACATTTAGAAAACAATGACAAAATACATTCCCCAAATTAACCTCCTGGTACATGCTCAGGGAACTACTGATGCATAGAACAACATGGGTGACAGTCTTTAGAAGTCTATTTAGTGGCAGCAGGCTAGCTATATGGGAAAATTATGAGGTTTGCTGGACCATAGCTTAAAATGGTGTGTTACGAGGTTCATGCATGTTGGAAGAGGCACTTAGAATAAAGACTTTAGTTGCTTGTAGAGAATTTCCAAATTTCTTTTCGATCATAAAACCCAATGAAGTAGCGTGTTTTCCAGATATAAGCACAACATTTGTTTTCAGGTTGCGATTTGCAGTTTTTTTTTTTTTCCCACATGAACAGATGTTTTTCAGTGCTTCCAAAAAGTTTTAGAACTATACTATTTAGTGTTTCCGAGAAACCCTCAGTGGTAGGGAATTTGTGGATCATAACTTAAAGCTTATGGTAAAACACAGCGTATAGGATATAAGATCATGAGTGAAATTTTAATGTACAATTTATATTGAAAGAAAAATGATAAAAACAACTGGTTATATTTTTGAGAAGGGTCAGGTAATTTTCCCACAGGAGAAGAAAAATTAGGTTATACATTTTTGTAGGTTAAAAGTGTTAGTCATGACCTTTTCTCGCAGTGCTTGCTGACAGGAAGACTAAAGGGATGGTGGCAAAAAGAGTGAGTATCTAAGGAAATAACTAACGTGACACGACAGTTCCACTCCTAAATGTTTACACAAGAGAGATGAAGGCACATGTGCACAAAGTACTTGTGTAAGGAATGTTTATAACAGCTTCATTCATAATAACCAATGCCTGTAAAGAACCCCGGGGTCCATCTGCAGGAGGATGGGTACCCAGGGCACGGTTCATTCAAGCGGTGGAGTGGAACTGAGCAGGAGCAAAGAGTGGGCTACTGATCCACCCACCGATACGGAGAAATACTGTTTTCAGAAGGGGGACAGATAGAGAAGAGCGTGCATCCTGCGAGGTTAGCTTTGCAGTAAGAACCAGAAGGAGCAAGGCTAACTCCTGGCGATAGACACCAGAACAGTATGTGCCTGTGGGTGATGAGGCCAGGCCGGCAGCGGGCAGAGGTCATCTTTCTGCGGGACTGTCCGTGTCATATGCGTCTATCGGGGTGTTGGGTGTGTGGGCGCCTAGACACCTACTAGAAGTTAAGCTGCATCCAGT